AAGTTCATTCCAAAGGTCCCCTCTGAATTCCACATAAATCGGGTATGCACCTACCTGTTTTCTACTCCCTGCTGTGCGTCCCTGTTATGGCCTCTGTCCTTCATGGCCTTGGAGACCTTTTCTAATATTTTGCCATTTCGTTTACTGCTACGGAGTTCAGCTAGCACTGATTCATCTCCCCATATGGCGAGCAGATCCCGTACCTCCCGTTCGGTCCATGCTGGAGCTCTTTTGCGATCCTGGGACTCCATCACGGTTACCTGTGCTGATGAGCTCTGCGTGGTCACCTGTGCTCTCCACGCTGGGCAAACAGGAAATGAAATTCAAATGTTTGCGGGGCTTTTCCTGTCTACCTGGTCAGTGCATCTGAGTTGAGAGCGTTGTCCAGAGCGGTCACAATGAAGCACTGTGGGATAGCTCCCGGAGGCCAATAACATCGAATTCTGTCCACACTACCCCAGTTCCGACCCGCTAAGGCCGATTTTATTGCTAATCCCCTCGTTGGAGGTGGAGTAAAGAAACCGGTTTAAAGGGCCCTTTAAGTTGAAAGAAAGGGCTTCGTCGTGTGAACGTGTCCAGGCTTAATTCAATTTAACGCTGCTAAAGTCTACCTAAACTCGTAGTGTAGACCAGGCCTAAGAGTACCTTGTTGCTTCCCAGGGCAGAGTTTAACTTTGGGAGCAATGCAATAGATCTGAACTCCCACAGTGGGACATGGGAAAACAGGATCTTTCAGGTAATTGGCTCCCACACCATCTGAGGAGTTTGGTAAATTGTAACCAGAATCTTGAATTGTATTTGAAAATGAGTAATGGCCAGTATAGTGCTCATAGCACCTTGCCAAGCTCAAAAGCTAGGCTGCTACATTCTGCATTACTCAAAGCTTTTGACCATTTTAAAGGGCAGCCCCAGTTAGTTTGCAACCTGGGCAAAAATATAACACCGCAGTTTTCTATGTTCTTCCCACTCCCACCTCCTGTTTAAGACTGGTTCAAGCTCTTGAGACAGGCTTAAATGGAGGGTAGAAGAAATTGCAAGTTCCAGATGCTCTTCAGGGAAAATTATGAATCCATCGTGCCCCGTCACTCCTGCTGTGAATCTTGATTGCGAAGGTTGGCCATACTTCTCAACTGGAAAAGATGCAGTTGGCATTCTCATGTCATTCTCCTATGCAAACTAAGGAAGTGTGGTCTACATGAAATAACTATAAGGTGGGTGTACAACTGGTGGATAGAACATACTCAAAGATTAGCTATCAATGGTTCACCGTCAAATTGGGACAGCATATCTAGTGGGGTCCCAAAGGGGTCAGTCGTGGGTCTGGAATGAAGTAATTAATGAAAATATTGAATAAAATTTTCAGATTACATCAAGCTAGGAGGGGTTTCAAGCACTTTGGAGGACATAATTAGAATTCAAAAGGACCTTGACAAATGGGAGAATTGGTCTGAATTCCCCAAGATGAAATTCAATAAATATAAGTACAAAGTACTTCGCTTATCAAGAAAAAAAATTCAATTGCACAAATACAAAATGGGGAATAAAGTGGTGGTACTGCTGAAAAGAATCTGGGAGTTATAGTGGATCACAAATTGAATGAAAATCAACAATGTGATGCAGCTGTGAAAAAGACTAATATTCTGGGGTATGCTAACAGGAATGTGGTATGTAAGACATTGGAGGTAATTGTCCCACTCTACTTGGCACTGGTGAGTACTCTGACCAATTCTGGGTGCCAGATCTTAAGAAATATGTGGAAAAAGTGTACAGAGTCTGGAGGAGAACAAGAGAAAATCTAAAAGGTTTAGAAAACCTGATGCATGAGGAAAAGTTTGGCGGGGGGCAGAACCCTGGGCATTTTTAGTCTTTAGAAAAGACTGATAAGTCTTCAAATATATTAAGTGCTGTTATAAAGAGGACAATGATCAATTTTCTTCCATGTTTACTGAAGGTAGAATAAAAAGTAATTGGCTTAATCTGCAGGAAGCAAGATTTAAATTAGGAAAAATGTTCTGTGTGTAAGGATAGTTAAGCTCTGCAATAGGCTCCAAAGGGAGATTGTGGAATCCCCATAATTGGAAGTTTCTAAAAACAAATTGTACAAACACCGGTCAGGGATGGTGTAGGTTTACTTGGTCCTGCCACAGCAGAGGGGACTAGACTTGATGACTTCTCAAGGTCCCTTCTGTGCTACATTTCTATGATTCTGGGGATTCTCCATATGCATTCTCCTGCCCATCAATATCACTTCTCTTTCTGGTTTGAGCCTGAACCAATTTTGCTGCTGTTGAAAGTCCAGTGCAGCGGTGATTATAGTTATGATCCAGAGGTTCAATAATATTGCTTAATGGCACTATCAAAATATTTAATATAGCACCAAATCAATCCAAACGTATTCAGATTTGTATTAAGAATGTTTTTATTTTCATAGAAAAGCTAGCAGATCAAGTGATGCAAAATCCACAAGTCTTGGCAGCTCTGCAGGAGCGACTTGACAGTTCGTCTCACACTCCTTCAAGCTATATTGAAACGTAAGTACAATGCATATCACACTTTCAGCAAGACTGAAAAAATAACAGACCAGAGTTACTATTTAGTCAGAAAAATTGAAATGCCAGAGTAAGGAGTGTTGCTGCTTTAATAGATGGTGCAATGGCCACCATCGTAGAGAGGAGGACCCAAATTGCTCTAGATCAGTTCCACAAACTATTAACCTAAGATTGCATCCTGATACGAGAGTAGTTCACTTTAGTGTTAAGTTAAAACTGAACACTACTCAGATTTTTTTATGTCCATCTTCAATTCCCCTTAACTGGGTTTTGGATCACTTCTCTGAGATTGCTTCTATCATAATCTCTCTTCACTGGATTATGCTTAGTTTTTAGAACTGAGTTCTCTAGGGTCAGTACTAGGTTATAAAGCGAAGGGTTCAACACTTCTGGAACTTTCTCTTCTGCGTGAGAGTGTGAGAATAGGTTAATCTGTTCAGGGAAGTTTGGAGGTTTGGTTCATATCTGGCAATTTGGCCTTGTTTTGTCAGTGTATACATTTATGTTTCAGAGTACAGCCCATGAATACATGCTTTTCTCTACAAAATACACAATTCTTTTCCATAGAAGGGTCGACATAATTGTAATTGCACAAATTTAGATGTAAAAAAAAGAAGTTACTTTCTGCCATCTGAAATATAGGGGAGGCTGATGGTCTAGGGCAGGGGTCGGCAACGTTTGGCACGCAGCTTGCCAGGGTAAGCACCCTTGCGGGCCGGGCCAGTTTATTTACCTGCTGATGCAGCAGGTTCGGCTGATCGCGGCCCCCACTGGCCGCGGTTCGCTGTCCCAGACCAATGGGGGCGGCGGGAAGCCGTGGCTAGCACATCCCTCGCCCGCGCCGCTTCGCGCCACTCCCATTGGCCCGGGACGGCGAACCGCTGCGAGTGGGGTCCGCGATCAGCTGAACCTGCCGTGTCAGCAGGTAAATACCCTGGCCCGGCCTGCCAGGGTGCTTACCCTGGCGAGCTGCGTGCCAAATGTTGCCGACCCCTGGTCTAGGGCAAGGGTCGGCAGCCTTTCAGAAGTGGTAGTGTGCCGAGTCTTAATTGATTCACTCTAATTTAAGATTTTGCGTGCCAGCCATACATTTTAATGTTTTTAGAAGGTCTCTTTCTATAAGTCTATAATGTATAACTAAATTGTTGTATGTAAAGTAAATAAAGTTTTTAAAATGTTTAAGCTTCATTTAAAATTAAATTAAAATGCAGAGCCCCCCCGGACTGGTAGCCAGGACCTGGGCAGTGTGAGTGCCATTGAAAATCAGCTCATGTGCCGCCTTTGCCACGTGTGCCATAGGTTGCCTACGCCTGGTTTGGGGATGGAAGATAATAGCAGGGATCTCAAACTTAATTTACCTTAGGGTCAGTGCCAGTCCTCAAATCCTCCCAGTGGGCTAATAATGTCACTGAAGATGGTGTTCAGAAAATAAAACTTTTATATTGTATTTTTTATTTCGAATTTCTTAGAAATAAAAAAAACTGTCATACCACACTGTTATACAATTCTTCGCTTGCCAGGGAGTTTAGTTTCAGAGGGGCAGCTGTGTTAGTCTCTATCAGCGAAAACAATGAGGCGTACTTGTGGCACCTTAGCGATTAACAAATTTATTTGGGCATAAGCTTTCGTGGGTTTTAACCCACGAAAGCTTATGCCCAAATACATTTTTTAATCTAAGGTGCCACAACTACTCCACAGTTTTTAGTGTTTGCCAGACACCTGGCAACGCTTCAGTTCTGTCAGTTTGTTGATGTTTGGCCTCAGTGACTGAGCAGTTGAAACCTTCAAGATTGCAGCAAGGTGTGCTTCAGATAGTTGTGTTCGGTATTTTGACTTGTTTGTATTCATTGTGGGGGAAAAAAGTGATGCTGCCTCCATGGCTGACTGTGCCCGGCAACAAATGATGGTATCTCTGTCCCTCTCCCCCAGCCGATGGGAGCTGGGGGGGGGGGAGATGGGGCGGTGCCTGTAGCGAACATTGCAAGCAGTGTGGCTGCCTGCACCTTTCCTCCGCTGGCTGCAGTGGGGAGGTTCTTGGGCCGCAGATGGCCCATGGGCCGGGAGTTTCAGACCCCTGATAATAGTATCAAGGACAACATGGATAAGAAAAGATTCTTATAAAGCTTTTAAATGCCCTATTAAAAAAGGAACGTGTGGGGGGGGAGGGGTGTTATGGCTAAACCAAACCTTCCTATGACTAAAGAGTATAGCTATAATATCAGGATAATGCACAATGACTATTAGATGTGAAGAAGCTAACTTTCTAGACTTACAGAGCTGTTTATTTCTAGGTTACCAAAAGCAGTAAAAAGAAGAATTGATGCCTTGAAACAACTCCAGGTGAAGTGTGCCCATATAGAAGCTAAATTTTATGAAGAAGTTCATGATTTAGAGAGAAAATATGCAGCCCTCTATCAACCTCTCTTCGATAAGGTAGGAAGACTATAAAGATTTTTTCCAAACTGCTGTTTTCTCAAACTTCCTTTGTTTGGAGGTAAATAGAGAAGAGTAAAATAGAAACAAATTCTCTCTCCTTTCTCTGTCTCCCCTCCTCCCCTCCCCCCCCCCCCCCCACCAGCTGCTTTAAAGAGAAGCTTGGATTACCAATCTAGAACTCTAGCCCTTGTTCTTTTCTCATCCTATCAGATGTTCCATATTGTAAAAACCGTACTTCCAGTGATAAAGGCTGGGGTTAGTTACTCCTTTTGTAACTCTAAAGAGGGGAACTGCTGGAGAGCTGTGTAAAGCATTCTTTTCTACTCCTCTGATTGTATTAAAAACTCCAAGACTTATGGACAGTTTCCCCATTTACAGAATCTATAGCAGATGCACTAGCATATCCAAAGCATGTTCTTGATATCACTACTCCAGCACCAGTCAGTCCGTTAGGTCTTTTCCTGCAAGGCCTGGCACTCGGACTAGTTGACTATACATTACAAAATAAACAAAACCTCACAAAGGAATTAAACGGGCTAACAAAACAAGGCAATATCTGGAAAATCCTTGTCAGATTCCTGAACGTGTTGCTGGGTGTAAAAGAAGGTATATAGTGAGTCTGTATCCTATACTTGGGCTCTTGGGTTTATTAGAACTGCACTAGATAGTACATTTTAGCAACTTTTCTAGATCCCAGCCTCCTCACTTTAAAAATTGCTTCAAAAACCACAACACACAAACAAAACTATTGATGCTATGATCATTGGCCTGCTAAACCCAGGGTTGTAAGTTCAATCCTTGAGAGGGCCACTTAGGGATCTGGGGCAAAAATTAGTACTTGGTCCTGCTAGTGAAGGCAGGGGGCTGGACTCTATGACCTTTCGAGGTCCCTTCCAGTTCTATGAGATATCTTCATATATTATTCATAAGTCACACTTTCTTTTGTTTACATTCAATAATGAGAAAATAGCAAAAACCTTTCTGGAGGTGGAGGGTGGTGTACATTTCCTCAAAGGTAGACATCTACACAAAGTAGACAGATTTTTTTCTCTTTGACAGAAGAATTCCTTTAATTGGTGGAGAACATTCTTTAGTACAACAGATTGTTTGTTCTTAATGTCAACTCTTGGTTCTTACCTAAATTTTAGCTTTAACATTCACCATGTTAGATATAAATAATAATGAACTCTTTGGAGACAATTTCATCCTCTGTCTATTCATGTCTTCATTTTCTTTGCATAGCTAATGCATTTTTCTGTGTAATCGATAGGATTGTAATTGAACTTCTTATATGTGAAAAGTGTATTTGTAGCCTGCTGCGAACTCCTAAAATTGATACCTGTGATTCTGAATTTCCTGACATTGACCATCTAAAAAACACTGCAGTTTTTGATAGTGGGACAGTTTCTCTTCTCTGGAGCATTGGCAGAATCTGGCCCAAGGAGGCTCATACTAATGCAGGGGAATCTTCTGGTGACATAGAGCTAGTATACTGGTTTTGCACTAGCTCTCCTTGCTGCTGGCCAAGTGTGTGTGGCTGGTGCTTTACTAAGCCCTGCTGGTCTCTGACTGCATTTTCAGCCTCTTGGTCGTGGTGGCAGCCTGTGTAACTCAGCCATTAGGCTACTCCAAAGTTACGTTGAGGACTTGTCTGGTGCAGAGCCAGTGAAAAAGTGAACTTTATACCATCTTTGCAGTCTCCATCTTTCCTCCATTGCTGTGATCCTCTGCTGTGGCTGAGGATTTGTCTCTTTTGTACAGAACTTTTTTTGCTCCCCTGTGGTGTGTAAGGGTCTCTAGGAAAAGTGCAATTAATGCCTGGTCTGTACTAGGAAATTAAGTGACAGTTATACTGACCTAGGGGTGTGAAAATTCAACACCTCTGAGCTATGCAGTTAAATCAACCTAACCCCCATTGTAGACAGTGCTAAGTTGACAGGAGAAGCCTTTCCGTCAGCATAGGTAGTATTTTCACAGAAATGTTATAGGAGCACAGCTGTGCTCCTATAGTAGTTTATTTGCAGACATATGCTGACTGCTATACAAGAGTAGGAACTATTTGACAGAACCATTTTTATAGCCAAAGTACGTGAGCTAAAAGTTATTTTTGCTGACATTCAGTGGTACCTATTTGAAATTGTAGTAAAGTACAAAACAGACAATTGTGACTTCCACTCTTTTGTTTTCACTTTAAACATAAGTAACTCTAGTTCTGTTTAGTTCATTTATGTTGTAACTTACTGTTAATACATGTTGTAATCACCCTAATAAGTTGTCTGTTACCTTCATGCTCTTACCCTAATAATCGGGGATACTTATCTATCCTATTAGTGAGTCAATTGTTTTCCTTGGGGTTTTTTAAGGATTGTTTTGCATGCTGGGAGTCATTATGAGAGAATCAATTTTTGTATTTTGCCAGAGGCAGTAATTTTGCCCAGCCTTTTATAGCAGCCCAGGGAATTGTTCAGAGTAACCTTTAATTACTGCTTTAATATTTTTCTCCCTTAAATGTATAATTCTCTTGTGCAGCGAAGGGACTTTGTCATTGGTGAAGCTGAACCTACAGATGCAGAGTCAGAGTGGCACAGTGAAAATGAGGAGGAAGAAAAACTAGCTGTGAGTAGAAACAAGCTAATCATTAGTTTGAAAATTTGATAAAGGACTAATTTTGTTTATATAGCCTGAAAGATACTGTCTTAAATCTAATTTCTTTGAAATCTAGATTTCATATAGAACTCTTGTAATAAGCACAAGCCTGGACTGAACACAATGACATATAGGACTTGTCCACACGAACAGTTAGTTCTTGGCAAGTTGAGGTGTGAATTTAATCTACCCCATTCTAGCCCGCCATGGACTGTCTGTCTGGACCTTGCTGACGTATTAACAGTTCAATTCTCTTTGATATCATCCTTTTTCAAAAAGGACCAGATCAAAGTGTATTATCAAACGGGTTAATGCAAGTCAGCAGGGTCCACACAGATAGTTGGTCCATGGAAGCTAGTGTGGCATAGATTCTCACTCTAGCTTGCTGTGAACTAAATGTTTACATAGACAGACAAACCCAAACTTTATTCAGTGTTCTAAAATTATAATCCAGTTTACTTTTAAATTTTCACTTAAGCAAAAATACCTAAAATAAGAAGACTTAACTTAAACAACAGGAAGGGAGAGGAGTTAAGGGCCAGTGTTGGCACAAGAACAAATGGATAGAAACTGGCTATCAGTAAGATCAGACTTGAAATTAGACAAAAGTTTCTAACCATCAGAAGAGCGAAATTCTGGAATAGCCTTGTAAAGGGAGTTGTGGAGGGGGGAAACTTAATCTGTTTTAAGACTGAAGGCAGAGGTGAAAGTAAGCCGGTCCAGTCCAGTATGGCATACCGGCAAGAGCTAGTACGGCGTGCCAGAGCGCATTGGCTTCCGCGGCAGGGATTTAAAGGGCTCTGGGCTCCCCGCAGTTGCGGGGAGCGAAGAGCCCTTTAAATCCCGCCTGCAGCTTCGGTGCGTGGCGATCGATCTATCAGGGATTGATTATCGCGTGTAGTGTAGATGCGATAAATCGATACCCAATCGCTCTCTCGTTGACTGCTGAACTCCAGCTCAGCGAGAGGCGGAAGCAAAGTTGACGGGGGAGTGGCGGCTGTCGATCCTGCCCCGCGAGGACACGAAGTAAGTGATTGTAAGTTGATCTAAGATACGTCAATCTCTCTCTTTCTCCTTTCCCCCCCCCCCCCCAAAGTGTAGACCAGGCCTGAGTTACTGCAGGTAACTTTATCAGCTGTGTGTCTGTCCTGGATTTTGGCCACATGTTCATATTGTCATATTTGGGTTTGGGAAGGAATTTTTTCCCCAGGTCACATTGAAAGAGACCTTGGGGTTTTTTTGTTTGACTTTTTTTTGCCTCCCTCTGTAGCTTGGGGCACTAGTCACTTGCTGGTTTGAACTAGAGTAAATGATGGATTCTCTGTAACTTTGAAGTCTTTAAATGAAGATTTTAGGACTTCAGTAACTCATCCAGAATTTATGTCCCTTCTACAGGAGTGGATGGGTGAGGTTCTGTAGCCTGCAATGTGCAGGAAGTCAGGCTGGATGATCATGGTGGTCACTTCTGGCCTCAAATTCTCTGTTTAAAATTAAATTTTGAAAATTTACTGAATTTTTACACCAGTATATTGCCATCAACCAATACTGTTTAACGGTTGTTTGTTCCTTTTCGTTTGCACTGTTCGTAACCTGTTGACAGTATCTTTCTGCTAATGGGTTCCATTCCAGTGCTACATAAATCACCAAAGTAATACAAGGCTGGCTGGCTGACTGACTGGCTGTTCTTTATTTTGGGGGACATAACTAGCGTTTAGTGCTATGAATACAGATTTGACAAATAGATATCTCAGACTTCGGTAAAGTGTATTGTAAAGCAAGTTTTATTCCAATAGAGATCCAGCAGCCCAGCATGCTTTTTATATATTCTGTGTGTAGTAGAAAATATTGAGTTTTAAGAAGGGCCTTCTATAGCTTCAGCACATTCCATTTATATTTAATGAGTTTTAAGGACTCTCTCTCTATTTATATAAAATACACACACACTTTTTCCTTTCTTCCTGACTTGTTCTCCATTTTCTTTAGTCATTCTTATCTCTGTGCAAAATTAATACTACCCTCATTCTATATTTACTAGTCATTGTATTTGATGGTAATCCACAGTACTACCACAGGCACACATGACAAGGTTTCTAAATCTATGGGATGAGTGGCAACAGTTTATGAAGTTACTGGCATGTGTTGAGGACCATTTTTTGGTAACTTCCAGCAGTCCTTAAGCAATTGAAGTTTGTAATGCTTTCTGAGACTTCCTGTTTACCTATTCTTATGTATATACACAAGTTCAATTAATCTTATGAACTGCTGTAAATATTGCCCAAACATGATCCTTTGGTAAATGTAATAAATTGCTGTTCCCTGCTCTTGACTCATCACTCAAATAGCAGATATTGTTGGAGGCAATTCTAAGAGCTTCTGGTGATGCTACCTTTGCTACTGCAAAGCAGCAGAATTCTTCATGATCAAGAACTGGATTTGCTGCGTTGTTGGATGAGGACATAGTAGCAGGGACATGTATTAGCACAATCCCATGCTGAATTTTAGTTCTGTATTAATTTTTTTCTTCACATACAACAAGCAGCTTTCTGTGCCCCAAAGAGAAGAACCCGGACAGCATATTCTGTAGGTACTTTTCATTATTACATCAGACATAAATTTGCCAGATGTTTCCTAGAAGACTTGGAAAGACTGTCTCTGCCCCACATGCTACCAATTTAAATTTTAGATAGAGCACAGTGAAAATGAGAAACAGAGGATTGGTCTCTTTCTTGCCCTGTAGAACAGTACACCTCTACCCCAATATTGGTTCTCAGGAGCCAAAAAATCTGTGTTCTAGGTGAGACCGCGTTACATTGGGGTAGGGAGAGGAACCGCTTTTACCGCTCTGCGCCCCAGCTTCTACCCCCCCCCCATTCACACCCCCCCCCCCCAGCTTGCCACTCCAATCAGCTGTTTGGCCCAGCAAGCCTGGGGGGGGGGAGGGTAGGGGGAAGTGGAGCGGTGCGCTCAGGGGAGGAGGCGAAGATGAGCTGGAGCGGTTCCTCTGCACCCCCCTGTTACTTGCTGCAGCCCTCCCCATGCGCTCCCCCGCTCACCTCCTCCCACAAGTGCGCTGAAGCGCCGCCCTCTTCCCCCCCCCCCCCCCCCCGGCTTGGCACGCCAATTAGCTGTTTTGGGCAGCAAGCCTGGGAGGGAGGAGAAGCGGAGCTGAGCGGCGCGTTCGTGGGAGGAGGAGGAGGAGGCAGAGGTGAGCTGGGGCAGAGGGGATGCAGCAAGTAGCGGGGGGCATAGAGGAACCCCTCCCCGCCCCAGCTCACCACCACCTCCTCCTCCCACAAGCATGCTTCTCCTCCCTCCCAGGCTTGCTGCACAAAACAGCTGATTGGCGCGCCAGGCCGGGGAGGGGGGGAGCTGGAGCGGTTCCTCTGCACCCCCCCCCCGCCCCCTGTTACTTGCTGCGGCGCACTCGTGGGAGGAGGCGGAGTGGCGGTGAGCTGGGGCGGGGGGGCGCCTCGGGGGAGGGCCCAGCAAGTAACAGGGCAGTGCACAGGGAATCACTTGCGGTAACACAAATTCAGATATAATGAGGTAAAGCAGCCTCATCCCCCGGAGCACTGCTTTACCGTGTTATATCGGACCACCTTGTATCTGGGTAGAGGTGTACATCTACACCTCTACCCCGATATAACGCGACCCGATATAACACTAATTTAGATATAACACGGTAAAGCAGCGCTCTGAGGGGGGAGGGAGGGAGGAACTGCACGCTCCAGCGGATCAAAGCAAGTTCGATATAACACGGTTTCACCCATAACACGGTAAGATTTTTTGGCTCCTGAGGACAGTATTATATCGGGGTAGAGGTGTACATCTACTTAATTTAGACATGTACCTTTAGGTTTTATTATTTTAGTGTATTTAAAAAAAACCGAAGTATAACAAATGAAATTGGAAAGTTATCTGTTTGTATCTTGTAGTCAAGAATTCCATGGCAATTGAAAGCACTTTAAACTAGTACCAAACCAGCAGCAGTTGTACGTACTTTAAAATTTACAAATATGGAAATACAGTTGTAAATCAACTTTGAATCTGTTTGACTTGATTTGTAAGTGGAATTGACTATCTTGGTTTAAAACCATCTCTAAGCATGAACTTTCAAGTCACAATTTTCAGGAATCTGACAGCATTTTAAACATCTACAATAGGACCTCAGTTACAAACACCTCGGGAATGGAGGTTGTTCGTAACTCTGAAATGTTCGTAGCTCTGAACAAAAAACATTATAGTTCTTTGAAAAGTTTACAACTAAACATTGATTTAATACACCTTTGAAACTTTACTATGCAGAAGAAAAATGCTGCTTTCCCTTTTCTTTCTTAGTAGTTTGTTTAAAACAGTACTGTACTATATTTCCTGCACACTGTGTGCGTGCGCTGCTGCCTGATTGCTTACTTTTGGTTCCAAATGAGTTGTGTGATTGACTGGTCAGTTCGTAACTCTGGTAGTCATAACTCTGAGGTTCTACTGTACTTTTTATACTAAGTGAGGAAGGCTCTTAATTATGAAGAGTTTGTGCTTTTCTTAAACATTTCTATGTTTACTTCATAGGGAGACCTCAAAAACAAAGTAGTAATAGAAGAGAAAGAAGCAGCAGCAGCTGCAACAGAAGAGTCAAATCCCAAAGGAATTCCAGACTTCTGGTTTACAATCTTTAGAAATGTAGATATGCTAAGTGAATTAGTACAGGTAAGCTAATTCCATTTGAAAAAGCTAACTTCACCTGCTTTTTTTCTCCCAATTACTAGATGAAACTTGAGGAAGATGTGAGTAACCAAGAGCTTGCAGTTCTTGAGAATCCTTTACCTGGTCTTTGTCAAATAAAACACTTGAAGATAGTTTGTAGTTTGCTTGTTACTAAGTGAAAGTTTTTGATAAATAAGATCTAAGCGGTCTGGAAACTGGTATTGCAATTAGTTCTGCATCCATTAGCGCATATATTCACATTCTACTTTTTGCCACTTTATTTTGTTTAGGTAGTTGTATAATTTAAGGATATCTTGAGCAAGTACTTAAACTGGCTGTATCTGTATTGGACTGGACTTCTATATTTGCTACATTTTGTTGCATTCTGCCCTTATACAATTTATCCTATTAACTTTCTGTTAATATTTTGGAATAATCCCCTAAAACTAGTCATTTTTATACATCTGTCACATCATGCCTCTGCTTAGTAGTGGAAGTAGTAATTGGAGTTTTCATCTTCCAAGAAGTTTAATTTTCAGTCACATGCTACCCCAAGAGATGGCAACTTTAACTTCAAAGATAAGATGACAGATTTCAACAAACGAGAATTTGGCAAGTGACAGTTTTAAAGTAATTTCAAAGAACTTGGATCTGAATTTCAAATTTATCATGAACTTGTGATCAAATTATTAGGTTCTACATAGCTCACTGCTCTGAAGTGAGCAAGTTTAGATGAAAATTTTGCTTTTTGAAATTTGAACTGCCTGTTCAAACTTTTTTCCTTTCTGTTTAGGAATATGATGAACCAATCTTAAAACACCTGCAGGATATTAAAGTGAAATTTTCTGAACCTGGACAGCCTATGGTAAGTATTGTCTGAAAATTTTTTTTTAAATAGTACACAGTAGTGATGGGCAATGGTTCAAAATGTTATTGATCCCTCCCTGCCTACAACCATCAGTGTGAAAATATGGGGCGTACTGTTCTGACCAAAGATTCCAAGCTTCAGGTTCTTAGCACAGATTTTTAGTTGTTTTTCTAGTCCTTTATTGTCTTGTACTCTAGCCAATCTTTATCATCACCTTCAACTCTATTCTACCTCCTCTTGTTCCCCTTTACTTAGGTTTAAAAGAGTGAACTAATTTTTTATATTGAAAAATTGAAACAGCTACTTATGCCATATTTAATACTTGGACAAATTAGTGAACGTTAGTCAAAAAGAATCATGTGTACTGTTCATCACATTAGAAAAACTATACCTTCCCCAAATAAAATGGAAATCAATGTGACTTAAGTTCTGTTACTTTAAAACAGTAATGAAAAATATGGTACAGATGCAAAAATACAGAAAGTTTAAACAAAAGATTTCATTTTTAACTGCACTTAGAAACATTTTTTTCCAGATAAATATACCCTTAGTTAATATCAACACAGCAGCTGGGATAAGTGATTCCTAGCTCAAATAGACATACACACACTAGCTAAGCTCATGCTAGTGCCTAAAATAGCTGGGTGGTACAGCAGTTTAGTAGCCTATTTAAGTAGTCCCACTCAACCTCCTGCATTCATACTTATGTGGTTTGCCTGAGCTGCCACCCATGGCTCCATGGCCACACTGCTATTTGTCATTTCTAGCTCAAGCAGAGCTACCATCCTTAAGTCTACCTGAGCTGGGAATTATACCTCCCAGCTGCTGTTTAGACATACTCTGACTTCGCTTTTTTTACAGTTTGTCAAACTTCTAGTGTAATCTTATCTGTGCAAGGAAAAAGCTAAAATACTAGTGGAGTTTATAAATGAGCACACAAAGGGAATCCTTTGGCACTCACCTGCAGAAATTAACTTAAATCAGTTATGTCTGGCTCATCATGATTGAACTTTAAAACATCTAGCTTATCAGGAAGCCAAAGTATTGGCAAGTACACCAGAAAGTATTCATGGACTTCAACTGTAAGGCTACAATTTTTGAGACAGTTTATTATAATAGAAGTGATTGCCTTGACAGTAGGTCATGCCAATCCTCTTTTGAATCAAGCAAAGTGGCCTGCACTGCTTGCCTCAGATATTTGTCGTGGACATCTGCAAGGCAGCAACATTTGCAAAACATAATTGCTTGCATTCAGTTTCCATAAGGAAATCCCATTTTGGTGCCTTAACACCCCATAACTTGTTTTTGTACTTGTTTGGACTCCTGTACTATGGAATCCTTTTTCTTTCAGGGTGTCCCTTACTTAAAGTGGCAAAAACATTCTTTT